ATCAGCGCCATGGATCAGCCCCGTCACTTCGCCCGGCCATGGCGCAGTTTCGCAATCCAGGCTGGTCCGTTCCAGACCTAGGATGGGGATGGCAGCCGGTGGATACAACCGGAAGATAGCCAGTTCTTCATAGTTGCCCTTTGGTAAACAGACAAAAAAATGGAACATCACCATTTATAATAGGTAAATCAACAATTTCTATGCGCCATTTTCAATAGCTATGTTAAATCATCAGCGGGTAAATATACTTAAATATATGATTGTCATTTATTCTCTCAGTTTTTTGGTGGAAATATAGCCTCCCCGAAATTAACAACACCAGTTTGACCCTGAAAATCCCGAAAGTTGCATGGAAACTCATCTTCCAACCTCCTTTGAATGGCAGGGTCTATGTTGATTGGAGGGATGATAGCCAACAAAACTATCAATTGCATGATTGGGATGATAGTCAATTATAATCACTCATGTCAATCATACTTATCCCGTGACATAGCCAGAATCAACTAGCTGAATGATAAGAATTCACAAAGCTGAAACGTTTGGCTATCGTTGGCATAGTTGCCCACATATATGCAGTCGGATATCTACCCCAGCAACAATTGGAATATACCATGGATCATGCCGTAAACCCAAGGACCATCCCGTTGACCAACCATTTGGGGGCAGAAATCATCCCAAATAGGGGTATACCTAAGTTCATGCCCCGCTGAGGATGGTGTATTCTTGGGTTTACCACATTTTCATGGTTTATGACTACGCAGAATCACATGCGATCGAATCATCCCTGATCTTCCAAGATCCATACCCTCTGGTAATTGAACATAGCTATTGAAAATGGCCCATTTATAGTTGATTTAGCTATTAAAGATGGTGATTTTCCATAGCTATGTCAGTTTACCAGAGGGTATGTGCAATCATCTACTTTAATAGTGGCGAATGGATAGTGGGATAAGAGACGAATTGAGAGTATGCATAATCTGGGGATTTTTCCGATACCATAAGGAGATGGTCCTTTGAGCATGGACCTGTTTCTGGAGAACATGAGGAAACAAAATACCTGGGCACATAACTTTCGCATCATCACAAGGCTTTCGGATCGCAAACACCCTCACAATTTACATCAATTCACCCTCTGTTCTAACAACATCTATGGACAATCAACATAAAAAACTTGGGTAGGGGTTTTTATCATCCATCATTTGTGCTCAACTTCAGGCCAATTTTTACAACCGTTCGCAGATATCCAATATTATTCCCATCACAGCCATCACATAACCATTTTTTCCAAGACAATATTACCATATATTCTCTAGACATCCTACACTATATTCCCATCTGGTTGGTGGTTTCAACCCGAAAAAACTGAGTCAGATTGGATCATCCCAACTATTGGGGAAACTAAAATTCATGTTCCAAACCACCAACCAGATAGGATTTTCCATTATATAGCCGTTGTTTCCATCATTTCCATTACGTTCCCATTACCAAATCTTCCCACCCGCCGTGCAGACAACGAATCCCCTACCGCCGAAGGCACTATGATGGCCAGGGCAATGTGTGAACTGCCTGGGCTCAAAGGAGAGCCATGACATTTGGGGACTTTGGGGACTTTTCGGACTTTTCCCATATTTTTGGACTTTTCCCATATTTTTGGGACTTTTCCCATATTTTTAGGACTTTTCCCATATTTTTGGAAGTTTTCCCAATATTTTTGGAACTTTTCCCATATGTTTGGGACTTTTGCCATATGTTTGGAAATTTTCCCAATATTTTTTGGACTTTTTCCATATGTTTGGGACTTTTCCCAATTTTTTGGGACTTTTCCCAATATTGTTGGGACTTTCCCATATTTTTGGAAGTTTTCCCATATGTTTGGGACTTTTTTTTCCATATGTTTGGGACTTTTCCCAATTTTTTTGGGACTTTTCCCAATATTTTGGGGACTTTTCCTATATTTTTGGAAGCTTTCCCATATTTTTGGGACTTTTCCCATATTTTTGGAAGTTTTCCCAATATTTTTGGGACTTTCCCCATATTTTTGTGACTTTTCCCATATTTTTGGAAGTTTCCCAATATTTTTGGGATTTTTCCGATATTTTTGGGACTTTTCTTACGGTAACAAACGTTTGAACCTAAGGAACTAGGTCTGCATAGGGCAACTTGCATCCTTTTGGAAGCAAAGAAAAAATAGTTTCCTCTGTCGGTTTCCCGACAGGCTCCACTTCCTCATATCGCTTTGCGATATTGGCTAAAGACCCTTTGTGGTACATGCACGCATCCTCCAAAAGCCACAGCGGGCAAAGACACTGGCCCAGTTTTTTTGTGTCAGCAACCTAGTTGCACCATCACTGACGCTTTCTATCCAATCCAGTTTGTCAAAGTGACCGGAGTCAACCACACAAAAAACTTTTCAGCGGCCTGAAGGCGCCAACATCTAAAGTTCTAAAGGTTGCAAATGTCCAGTTGTTGCAGTTGGCACGAAAATCGCCAGCGGGTTGCGATTCGAAAGCGTCTGCAAGAACTGGTCAGACAAGTGTGCCGGACAGCAGTCCAGGATAAGAATGCCGTGCACACTGTCAAACAAATCCAAAGCATCAGCAGCTATGTAGTCAACAAAGTCACAGAAGCTTGTCTGCGTCATCCACCCACTGCGATATGCCTTCAACAGCAAACGAGGGGACACACGATCTTGCGATCTTGAGCAGCGCGCAAGAAACTACGGCTCAAAATTGCTCTGGCACCAAGAACCAATTGCGGCAGGTACGGCTGAACCTCTGAAGCGTGTGTGATTGCCGCACAAAGTGTGATAGCCCCCCTCTTGCGCGCCCGCTCCTGGCAAAGGCCTAGTTTGGCAGTGCGCTTGCAGACCAAGCCAGGGTTTGGACTGAGATGCAGCCCAATAGAAGTTTCGTCCAAGTTTGATTAAAACTGGGCGCTTGCCTCTTTGAAATGAAACATGCTGCAGGTATGAAAGCCACTGCAGTAACCAAAAACCTCACCAGGGACAAACTTCCACCACCAAATCTGGCCCCACACACCTTGAATTTGGGCTTTAAAACTGGGCCCGAATTTTGGCGCAAAGTCGGACCCGAATTTGGGTCCAAAGTCGGACCCCGAAGTCAAAGCTAAATGAATCATTTAAAGGCTCGGGTGAAATATGGAACCAAAATTAAACCCAAAAAGGGAACCGCATTTGGACCCAAAACGAGGACCAAAATTGAACGCCCGAAGGCAACCACCAATAGGCCCAAATTTCAAAAATTGCGTCCACAAGAAAGCGCAAAACAATCTAGCTTTCCCATAAAAACTCTTGCAAACAAAACTGCTCAAAAACCTCTAAGCACTACCCTTCCAGTCCAAGCAAGCCTTGACCTCAAAGTTCTCAATGGACAGCAAAGACTTTTGTGGATGGAAGCAATCGACGGCTCAAAGAAAATTTCTTTGCAAAACGGTTGCGCCACTTCCGGCACAATCGCCCGGCCATGCCATACTTCCCATCACGTCCACAAGCAGACGAAAACAAACTTTCGTAGCCAAGTCCATCAGGGAGTTCTGCTTCGAATCTGGCAGCGACTTGCTGGAACTGAGGCGCAACTTGAGAATCTGAATTTTGCTTTCCCACCCACACAACAGTTCGGTGTTGAGCCATATAAATTTGAGCTTCCCTGTGAATACTTCTGGTCTTGGCGATTGTTGGAGACATTAATTCCTCAAGGGTGGCAAACGGAACATCTACAAACCATTGTGAAACACAAATGGGCGACGCCGGCGTGCTTCATCTGCATAGGCTGCTGCCACGCCAGCATCAGAGGCTAACAAATAAATCAAAAGACATACATGTACTGCACGCAGCGTCAGCCCAGACCAGCGTTCATCCAGCGCGTCTTGTCGCAATCTCTTCTGCACAGACCGAATGGCACGTCTTGAGCGCTGAAGCTCGTCATCTTCCAAGTCAGAAACGAACGGCCAAGTGAAAGCTGCGACCTTGAGCTGAATCAGCATTTTTGTTGCAAAATGAACTGGGTCAACCAGCCAGCGCGTGGCTATTAAACAACAACTTTTAAACTTTTAACTAGAACCGACAATGAGTCATCATGATCTGGTCTATCTTAGTTTTCAGCCATCCACATAGATCTGTTGCATACCTTGAAGGTACTCCGAATGGGCACCACATTCTTCCTCCTTTCCAACCCCCGAAAATTGACCCCCTTAATTGTCAGATTTGCCAGCACCAACACTCCGGCAACCTTCATACCAAATCAGTCCTGCCCACCAATCTCGCGTTGAGCAGCTTCCTCCAAAAATGGAAGGGAGAGAAGAAGAAAGCGCTGGCTCGAGACAAACGGACAAACGTATGCATGCATGTAGGTCAAGCAATTCGCAGTTTGTAGGTATATCGCGGTATACATCGCGGATGTCTGCGAAGGTTGTATAAGAGGTTATGAAGCAAAGAATACACACAGAGGGTGTCCGTAAAGGAGGCGGCGGATCAAAAATGTCGCAAGTGGCATGCATTGCGGTGTTCGGATATATATATATATTGCATAGACAACTTTCTACGCACAAATGGAAAGAGAGAGAGAGAGAGATAGAGAGAAGGTAAAGGTCTGATTCCTCTGAAGTTGGGAAGAAATCTGCTGAGCTTCATAAAGCTGAATTGCTGAAACAACTCTGGGATTCACATGAAAATCAACATACTGGAAACGATTCGGAAAAAACTTTGTTCAAAATGCTAAAGCAGAAAGTTGGGGTCGCCCCTTCAAAGATCAGCACGCTTCTTTTTTCACCCCAAGCTTGCCCCGTGCCCAAAGACATCTTCATAAGCCATAGCATCCTGACAGGGAAAGTCGCAAGCACAGAGACATGTGAAACGCCTTGCATATGCTTGGCATCGCATTGAAAGGCACCTTTCAACTCTATGCTTTCATCTTTGAATCAAAATACAGCGTTCCATTTCATGCTGTCCTCCTGTCGATATAGGGAATGAGTGTCTTATTTAACGGGTTTCTACAGTCCAAGACAGGCTCAGAAAGAAGCAACAGATTCAGAGCACTCATGTGTTGCGATCCTCTCGGGTGGATCGCTGACTCCAGGCAACGCCTTTGTATGCGCGTGGTGCCGTTCAGATCGATTTGGTGCTGACAGCTCTGCAGATCCATTTGGTGGTGACAGCTCTGCAGATCCATTTGGTGGTGACAGCTTTGCAGTCCAGGACAGGTTCGGAAATTAGCAACAGATTCGGACCATTCATTTTGCATTGGCTGCATTCGTTTTGCATGGATGGGTTGTCAGTTTTCTTGATCGTATTTTTGATGTATTGATTTTGTGTCAGTTCATGTGATGCGAATCGTTGCGAAATAGGCCAGGCGTGGCAGGCGTGGCAGGCGTGGCAGGCGTGAAAATTGGCAGGGCAAGCTTTCAGCTTGGAATTTAGCTTCTGCGTGGCAGGCGTGATGTTTAAGCGCCATTTTCTGGATGACTGCGTGGCAGTTTTCAATTTGGAAAAAAACCATAAAACTCTCCAAGAAACTTTGGGAAGTTGCAGCGTGCACGATTGAGAAATAACAGTGACCATGCGAACCTTGATGCATTGTCAAAAATTGCGACACCAGAATCGTAAAGTTGAAGTTGATGAAAAATATTTAAATTTTTGAAGTAACCAAAAAGAACCAACTTTAACTTTATGATTTTGCATGCGTGGCAGGCCCAGTCCCAGTCCCAGGTCCCAAGCTAAGACTCAAAGCTCCCTAATGGGCATCTAAGACTCCAAGACCCCCAGTCCCACTTCCCCACCCTAAGACTCAAAGCTCCCTAATGGGCATCTAAAGCTCCAAGACCCCCAGTCCCACTTCCCGACCCTAAGACTCAAAGCTCCCTAATGGGCATCTAAGACTCCAAGACTCCCACTCCCAGGTCCGAGACTCAAGCTCCCTAATGGGCATCTGAGACCCCAAGAGGCTCAAAGCTCCCTAATGGGCATCTAAGACTCCAAGACACAAAAGGGTGTATTCAGACGGGGCCTAATTTTGGCACCCAAAAAACCAGACATTCCTGGCAACCAATCAGGGTACCTCCGAGGTATATGTTTGGAAGTTTTCCCATATTTTTGGGACTTTTCCCATATTTTTGGGATTTTTCCCATATTTTTGGAAGTTTTCCCATATTTTGGAAGTTTCCCCAATATTTTGAAACTTTTCCCATATTTTTGGGACTTTTCCCATATTTTTGGAATTTTTCCCAATATTTTTGGGACTTTTCCCATATTTTTGGAATCCCATATTTTTGAGATTTTTTACAATATTTTTGGGACTTTTTCCATATGTTTGGGACTTTTCCATATTTTTGGGATTTTTCCACATATTTTGGTGACTTTTCCAATATTTTTAGAAAATTTCCGATATTTTTGGGACTTTTCCATATGTTTGGGACTTTTCTATATTTTTGGGATTTTTCCCAATATTTTGGTGACTTTTGGAAATTTTCCGATATGTTTGGGACTTTTCCCATATTCTGGGGACTTTTCCCATATTTTTGGGACTTTTCCCATATTTTTGGGACTTTTCCCATATTTTTGGAAGTTTTCCCATATTTTGGGAGTTTCCCCCAATATTTTTGGAACTTTTCTCATATTTTTGGGACTTTTCCCATATTTTTGGAAGTTTTCCTAATATTTTTGGAACTTTTCCAATATTTTTGGGGGTTATCCCCGTATTTTTGGGATTTTCCTGATATTTTGGACGTTTTTTCCATATTTTTGGGACTTTCGCCATGATTTTTCAGGTCCCAAAGCCACATTTTCCATTAAAAAACGCTTGCCAAGAAGCTGGAAATGGTGGCTGAGAGCCAAGGTGACAGCGGCATCATCCACTGGAAGAGGGCTTCAATCATCCTCAAACGGGAACGAGTCATGTGCATATCTATGATACTATGTGTAGGACACACCTATTAACTGCAACACTGCAACTAAAATATGTAAATATATATAGCAATAATATGACAAAAACATATATATATATGTATAATAATACATATATGTATGTATTACATATGCATATACATATCAACCACAGGTTGGTTTGTCTGTAACCTCAAAGGTAGGCACATCTTCCATAGACAACCTTGATTCTGTGCTCAGGCATGGTCAAGTTACATGGGATGGGGTATGGTCATACCATAATGGGACATATATCAAATATATGATTCAGATTGGTGGTTTCAACCCTCTGAAAAATATGAAAGTCAGTTGGGGTCCTTCTTCTCAATATATGGAAAAATAAAAAATGTTCCAAACCACCAACCAGGATTAATGGGAATCCTATAATCAATAAATATTAATCATCAATGAACAATGGGCCAATTATAATCAACAATAGATCAATCATATATGCCAATAGGGCTTGATCTATTTGTTGATCTTTATAATCTAATTATATATGCTAATTATAATCAACAAATAGATCACACCCTATCAATGCATTAATTTTTGACCATCCCCGAATCTGGGTGTCTCCAACTTTTGACCGCGTAAAAAGGCTGCGGATCAACGTTGGAGGTAACGGAAAGAACATGTGAATTGGATGGTTGACTGCTGAACATGTGCAACATGCATGTTTTTGGGCCTAAAATCTGATCCAGAAACAGAAACCCGAGGGTCAATGTGCAAGTTAAAGACACGCTCACCTCCTCGAAAAAAACAAACAAGCTTAAACACAATCATCAATCAAAGACATATTGAATGAATAATAATTATTAGTCAAAACCACTGAAAAAAATCGGTAATCTCAGCATTCCTCTCTCTCAAGAAAAAACACCAAATCATCAAAGTACCATGCCAAGCAGATTCCCATTTTGGATTATGATTACCCCAAACAAAATCATCAACCTTCGGTGTCGCGTGCCGAGCATCAGGAAGGTGCAAGCGAAGATGGGCAACATCACCAGGATCACCAGCAGATTCATCAAGCGATCATTCCTCGCGATGATGTTGAAGAATGGGTGCCACAAGCCAAAGATTTGCTCAGTGTGGTGGAGTTTTTTGTGCTTTGAGTGGTTGAACATAATCGACATATTCCCATCCCCCGTTCATATTGAACAGCCCCATTGTATCCCAATGGAATGTGGATTTTCCCTACTAAATCATATGTTACAATATGGAGGTTTCCTAAAATTGGGGTACCCCCAGTTATCATCCATTAAAATAGGATTTTCCATTGTAAACCATCAAACTATTAGGTTTCCCCCATGATAGACACCTCCATCTCTGATCACCAGATTTGGACAGAACTAAAGCCATTGGAAAATTTGGCCGCTCTGCTGGGGATTCCGGGATTGACAAAATCGATCATTAGAATCTTTCCATAAAAAGGCACCAAAACCGAAGTAAAACACCAATTCGGGTGTTCGAAACTGCAAAAACATGAGCGACCAAAATCCTTTGTCATTGCAGTATACTAGTTTCTTAATATGAGTCCCAATAATGGATTCCGATAGTAGAGGTAAAAACTGCAAACACGTGTGAAAAAGTGAATCTGGGTCTGTTGGAACATTTTAAACAACATCAGGTTGCGGGGTCAACCCAAACATGTGATGTGATTAACTAGGGGTTGGTAAACGTCTAGTTTTGGAGATTTTGAACATCACTAAAACGCGTATCTGTTGGAGATCATATTCCAATAGTTGGGTGATGTTCAATCATGACAGTTACCAACCCCTGATAATTAAGGATTTGGAAATCAACCATTGCCCACTTTTAGCAATCAATTATGGTTGATCATCTCCAAGCAATATTTACCAACCCCTGATAACTGGGTACCAGGAAATACGGATTTGCACAAGTTTGATCTTCCTGTACCAGCAGCCACTAGAAGCAGCGACTTGGACGTTGGATCCAAAGGAAAATCAGATCCATTTCCAGAAATCTCCAAACAAAGTGGGGGCATGTGTTAAACCTAAAAATGAGGAAATCATCTTGGGCGTGGTTTCTTTTTAAATATACTCCAAAGGGCAAAATCCGGATGCAGTATATAAACGGTGCATGTTTCTAGTTGAGTTTACGGCACTGCCAGAAAAACATGGATGCGCCTCTTTCAGGAAGCTTGTGTGCACTACGAACCATTGCAATCCAAATGCCGTTTGGGTATGGATCAAAATTAAAGACTTGGGGGACCACATTCAAGTATTGGGGTGGCCAATTTTGATCCATACCCATTGGGATATACCATATTTTCAGCCACACCGACTGGTAAACAAACATGGCCATGGACCTCCATTTATAGCGGATTTTCCCATTCAAACATCCATTTATAGAAGATTTTCACTGCCATGTTTGATTACCAGGGTAACTTGGGGGTTGCGTAGAAGTGAAGTCAGGCTGTGCAACATTGGCGCTCAAGTCTCCTGACATGTTCAGCCGTCAGTGGCGCGGCCTGAGCTATCGTAGGCGCTCTTTTCATGAGCATTTCAGCCAAGCCGGCAACTCGCCTGGAAATCAGGTGCACCTCATCGCTCCTGAGTCCCGGCATGGCGCTCGTGAACCTGATTGCCTCAAGGAAGGATTTGCCGCTCGTCCCAGCTGTGTCTTCCAACTGTACCAGGTTCTCAAGGTAGCTGTGCATGTTTGTACCTTCTAAAGGAAAGGGACTGATGCCAAACTGCGAACAGTATTCAACATAACGCTGCAATGATCCAAGCCGTTTGCCAATGGTACTTGTCGCCTTCTTGGCCAAACACTCCTGGACAGTTTGACGAACCTTGTTCCTGCGTTCAGATCGCACTCCAGTCGAGTCCTGTCAAAAGCAGCAAAAGCATAGATGTTTATAAACCTCTAAACCTCTAGTTTATCAATGTCATAGGATTTATGAGTACCACTGAAGTCGAACCATTGACAAAATTCAAAGCTTGGTCTCCTAGGACCTTTTTTCCCTTCATTTTTTTCGTCGTTGAGGTGCAGAAATCTAGCACCAAATCCATGGTTTTTTTAGTTCTATCCATTTAGGCTTTGTGCGGCTGCAATGGTAAACCAATAGGTTTATGGGGATACAAGTGTATACTAATTGGGATATAATGGAATATGTATATATATATATATACGTAAATAAATAAATATATTTATATTTATATATATATATATGTCACATACAGTTTTAATAAGACAGGATGTTTGGATTTGCCTGAATTTGGGGTGTACCATCATCATTTTATTTAGCCATATGGCGAAAAAAGATCAGCCATTGGGTTTAGCTGCACACTAGTTTCATGCACACTTATTTTTGTTGATTTGAACTATAGTTGATTGATGGTTGTACCCTACCAGTGACCAGCTTGCTTGGATGTGTATGTCACTTTGCAAGTAGAGAATAAGACCCGTGTAACAACTATAACGGGATTGGAATGTGGTCATTTGGTAATTCACTGACTGACTAACTAGTAGGTGCCACCCCCCAGTCATCGTTCAGACATAACTGCTGTCATACACCCAACAAATACCTGCTGTTTTGTTTACCACTTTAGCTAACAAATTGGGGTCTGACCTCCTTGTAAATTTTCGATTATTCCAACATATTCCATCTGTATATCGATTGTACCCCTATGATATCCCATTCTACACCTATTACTGTTGGTTAAAACGTCTTAAAACCCCCATTACTTTCCATGGTGAACCTTGCAACCAACGAACTGGCACCTGGCTGCCACAAGTAGCACTCGATTTTTGCTTGGTGAACTTGCCATCGAGTCATTGGTTTCCCCAAGAATTCGGCTAAGACTAAACATACCCTCTGGTAAACTGACGTAACTATGGAAAATCACCTTTTTAATGGGTACATCCACTATTTCTATGGCCATTTTCAATAGCTATGTTTGTTTACCAGACGGTAGACATTCCAACATTCCAATCTCTGTTTTCTGCTTCAATTTCGAGGCATCCCCCATTTTTCATCTATTTATGGGTAGAACCACCATCCCGTGGTGTTTTTGTCCAGGCGTGCGTCCACTTGTTCGCCCGTGGAGCGCTAAAGAGCTTGCAACTATAGAAGAAGGCAGCGGCACAGCTCGGCACTGCACCTCAGCGGAGGGCTGGTGGCGTTAAATCACCAATGGCTCGCTACATTGATGGTTTTGCAATTGGTGATTTATTGAAGAGTAAAAATGCACCAGCAAATCAGTATGAACTGTTGCTTGATATTGGTGAAACCCCAAAAAATGATTGATTTGCTATTGCTTCACACTTCCGTATCCGGTAGCTTTGATGCCGAAAAGTTTTCTCAGTTAGCATTCCAAATATGTTGGGATTCAGATTTTCGATATTTCCATAGGAAGGCCCCATCTATTTCTTGTGTCCCCATTGGAGGATCATCCCATTATAAGATAACCCCACTGAATGGATGATCCTCCAAGTAACATGTCCATGGGAGTTCCTGTGGATGGGCCGTTGCGAAATCCGGTTATCACCAGTTGATAGATGGGATTAACATCCCATTATGAACATAGGCTTTTAACATTCCAAGGCGGTGCAGGATTTCGCTGGCCCATCTACAGTATCATCAAGAAATATACCACCAAATCATCCATTTACATTTATAGATATTATAGATGGGATTTTCCATGAAATAAACCATCCATTTGGGGGTACCATGACTATGGAAAACTCCATATCAATGGGAATGTCAGGATCCTAAAATGGAGGCACGTTAGTACCATATTTACCATATTTCTGGCCATATTTTCTGGGGATATTCCCTGAAATTAAGCCCCAAAAAATAGGCCTAAAATAATGGTAGGTACCTCCCATCAATGGCTTCCTGTTGCATGACTGATATCACCTGGTGACCCGGCGCTGTGCCAAGGCGCCCATCCACCAGCCCAAGGCAGAGATGAACCAATACGGCCATCGGTCTCTCTCCTACGGAAGCCGTGACTCGGTGGGAAAATTCATCTGTGACTTCATAGCGGGATATCGAAAAGGATATATATATATATAATGTATATGTGTATATTAAGTGTATATATATATATATGTACATGTATATGTATATATACACACACATATATATATATATATTACAAATATATAATATAGGTATATAAAATGGGAATATAATAGAGATAAAACAGGATGAGGACGATGAGGATTCGAAGTCAGGCAACTCACACACATAGTCATGTATTGGGGATATGCCGGAATATAGTCAGGATCTGGATGGGTGAACACTGGGAATCATAGTTGATCTTCCAGCTAGAAAACTTTGGGAATCGTTTCGCCCAATCAAATCGTTTTCCGCGGTAAACCGCGCAGTTCTTGTAATTTGTAGTTGTAAACCAACAGAAACACATCTTGTTTTAGCATGTTTCCCATTGCTTTGCTGAAACTATCATGTTGAATCAGAAATGAAAGGGAACACACCCATTAAACCAGTAATGTCAACCCTGGATTAAAAAACCCTTAGGCTGTTTAAGTATCAGATTATGACTATTGGGGAAGTACCCCCTTAGTTTTCATAAACTATGGTTTATTAATCTGGGTTGACATTATGCCCCATGTGGGTCTGTCTGAAATGGGGCAAACCATCCCTTCCTGGCAGGACGCGCCAGCTGACCGCAACTCGAAAGTTTTGACTCATCGAAGGGATCCCAACACCCAGAAAATTCCGGGATCCCAATTTTTTTTCGAATCCCAATTTTTTTCGGATCCAACAAACTAGACTTCACCAACTCAACCTGAGCTATTTGCTATGGGGGTTCCACCTAATGGATGGGATTTTTTGCCCATTGCCACACACCTTGTGGTCGAGACGTATGTGGTCCACCGTGATATCCAACAGAACCTCAGGGTGGAGAATCGCGTCGCGCTACCCAAGCTAGATGTCGAGATCTTAAACATGCCGATTTTTTAATGGAAAAAACATCGCTAGATGGCGATAGAATGGCAATAGAATGGGATATTTTAGGCAATGATATGTTATTTCTGTCTAAACATGAAGATTTACCAGCAAAAATGGGGTGTCGGGGCGGGTTTAAAGCCATGATTTGTTTGATGTCGGCCCTCACATTGGATTGGTTTAAGGGAAACGCATCATCAGAAGACATATTTTGATGACGAACACCTTTTGTAGATCTCCCTGAAAAACCAGCGACACCAATAGCGATGACCGCTGACATAGGAATTCCACCAGCCCAAATGGCGATTCAACCTTTCACAGGGATTTGAACACCGTGAAGATTTTGTATGTGGGGGGACTTTTATGCAAACGCTGGGGATATTTTTTAGGGCTATCTATGATATTTGGGCTCCAAGTTATAGAGGATTTACAACCAATTTATGGTCATGTCAATCGGACAAATACACATTAATGACGGGATTTTGAGATACCCTATTGACAAATTGACAAACATATCACTGGATTGGTTTTTCAGGGAAGACTCACAGGAACCGATAGCTTTTTACGACCAAAAAAGAAAAGGGGGTTCTCAAATATGTAGCCCAAGTAATGATTGGATTTTGGAGTGCCAGATTTCCAAACAACCTCATTTGGGCCAGCCTTGAGGGTAAACATCCTAGGCATCAACGATATACAGGACACATCAGGACACCGTGGTTCTACTAAAACCAAACACTAAAACCTGTAACATGTTCCTTCCACTCAGGATAATGATGAGCAACCTACATGTGGCTATGGATCTTCATCTCCCGAAATAGGGTCGTATGGGATTGCCTTCATTCTCTGTATTCCCTACATCTTTTTAATTACCTCCTAATTTTAGTATTACAATTTTACTATTGAAAACCATCCATCCTTTTTTGTATCTTGCAGCATTTTTGCGAAGTATCCTTTTAGAGGATGGATGGTCATCATGGTCATCCCATCGCCCCGGAAGAGATATCATCTCCCCAAGGAACCCAAAAGATGGGAGACGTTGCTACCAGCCACAACCTGGGGTGAACGGCGAATGGATTGGAAAATTGTCGGATTTGGGATGCCCATGGGAAATGGCCGGATTTTCCTTACAGTGCAAAGTTGGAGAAATACATTGGGAATCATTTGGCATTGCAAGATGTAAGCTAAACATATGGCAAGAGAAGCATGTATCTTTCGGGGAGCATTCTCCCTAGGGGAAAAACATGTGTGCCGTGGTCAAGTTACATCCCATTATGGGAACCCAACACATCAGCACAGAAATCCCTATGACCATGGATTCCTCCCATCCCCCAAGAACCCCCAGTTGAGCAGCGCGTCGTTCCCTTATTATCCTGTTTTTTTTCGAGAGGATTTCCGAAGGACTATGATATTCCCCAACATATTGGTTGCTATAATCCCCGAACTAATCATCCACCAACCGGAGTAGATCACTGCTCAGTTGTTGAATCGCAAACCTTCACTGGCCAAAACCTGTGAAATGTATGCCACTTGTATCAAGGGTCAGATCAGGATTCCAAAATGACCCATATTTTGAGAGTATATCTCCTTACATACACCTTACATAAACCTTATGGCAGGTACCTTCGATTTAAGTACCTGAAATGACCAGTGATTATGTATATTATATATATATATACATATGCGACATATTTGGCGATGAGTCAAACTTAAGTACCTCCAAAGTCTGCAATTCCCTGCTGAACTCTTGACACCAAGCCACATATACATGTCATGTAAAATTAAGTGCTGGCAATGCAATAAAGTGGAGGCCATTCATACTCTTGGGGACACAGGACATGCAGTCTTGCCCATGCTTGGCGCCGCACAGCACGCAAGGTGAGTTAGAAGAACCCTTGCGTCGCTGACCATGGCATTTGTTTGCGCAGGTGTTTTGTTCGGGGCTGACTTGACATTCACGTAGAACACTGGCACAGTTATATGCTGGGACGGCAGAGGGACAATGGTCCGGTGTCACCAGAATCAACAGTTCCTGCGGCACCACCTTTGATAGCCCCGATTCTCACACCTCTCAAGCTTTCGTTTCAATGCATTTGGGTTCGCGCTTGGCGGTCGCATCGGAACGTTCCTTGTAGGGACCTTCTGCTTCATCTGCTCATGCGGCTTCACCCATGTTCTCCCGTACATCTTAGCTTGACACCCACTTCACAGAACAAAGGAGCAAGTAGTGTAGAGGTGCCAACCCCCGGGTCTTAGAAAGCAAGAGCTTGACCCAGAGGTACAAGTCACAGAAAATGAATGGCAACAATTAAGTTGCAACCAGTAGCCACCAGTCTTGCCCAACAAACTGCCTGATTGAAAACGAATACATAAGTTTCATGGAAAGCTAAGAGGTTATGAAGAGGATTGAGGTAGCAACGTAATTTTACCTTAATTACTTTACTTCGAGTGATCCCCGCCATGACATTTATCGATTTGTTACTGGCATATCTTCTGGCATCCTATCTGACATTTTATCTGGCATTCTCTCTGGCATACCTTCTGGCGTTCTATCTGGCATATCTTCTAACATTCAATCTGGCATATCTTCTGGCATTCTATCTGGCAAATCTTCTGGCGTTCTCTCTGGCATACCTTCTGGCATTCTATCTGGCATATCTTCTAACATTTTATCTGGCATATCTTCTGGCATTCTATCTGGCATATCTCATGGCATTTTATCTGGCATGTCTTCTGGGATTCTATCTGACATTCTATCTGGCATGTCTTTTGGCATTCTATCTGGCCGTTGAGGTCCAGCGCTGAACACTGAGCTGGGCAGGTCCCAGGTTGAGGTCCAGCAGTGCACACTGAGCTGGGAAGGTCCCAGGTTGAGGTCCAGCGGTGCACACTGAGCTGGGCAGGTAAAAGGTTGAGGTCCAGCGGTGCCCACTGAGCTGGGAAGGTCACAGGTTGAGGTCCAGCGCTACCCGCTGAGCTGGGAAGATCCCAGGTTGAGGTCCAGCGGTGCACACTGAGCTCGGACGTTGGCAAAGAGCTTGGCGAAGAGTTGGCAAGGCAACAGTGGACGTGGAAGTGGAGGCAGAGGTGGTGGATGAGATGCTGGCGGAGGAGGAGCAGGAGGAGCAGGAGGAGCAGGAGGAGCAGGAGGAGGATAGCTAGCCGAGGAGGAGGAGGAGGAGAACAACTGTGATAAAATCTAACAACCCTCACCTGGCAGGTGGGGAAAAAGGGGTTTTGTCAAGCTAAGTATATTCACCCCCAATTCCCCGCAGAAGAAATCAGTGACTTTATTAGGGGGGTAAACCATGATCTTTTTTCTGGTGGTTCAGAAGGTGCTTCAAGGCTACCCCCTTTGATGCAGTCATATCTTTAGGGATTTCGAGATCCGTCCCGGGATTTGGCAGACAACTCGTTGCCGGGATTGCTAAACTGACATGGCCACTACAGAAACACACAGAGACAGATTTTCGTGACCTTCTGATGATTTAACAGTTTGCTAGGGAAAAAAAACACAATTTTTGATGCCATGATGTGGTACACTCAATTAATAGCTCCAACTGGCTCCCAAATGAATAGGGCTCCGTTCATAGCCCTAGCTCCGAATCGCTCCCTCCGTTCACCAGCTTCCATGGCGGTGTCCGAGGAGCCAATATGGGAAATAATGACGACCCAGTTGATCTGCAAAGGATTCCTGCATCGATGGAGAATGCGTTGGTAACAACTACTTGGAGGGAATAGAGGGGGCAGAAAACGGTTTCTATTTATTTGCTATTGACTGGTTAGTGTTTGAGTCATCCATCCCGTAAAACATGAATCATAGCCATTTTTGCCTTTTGTAGTTTGTTGAGATACAAAAGAACCACGTCGAGCAAACCACCAGCAGCCTTATGTGTGCTTTGATCATCGCATACTTTGGTGGTGCCCCATAGTTAGCTAAGTTGCTGCAAATAACTCCCATTTCACTATGGTTTATGGCAGATATAACGAGCTAGTTAATGGGGTTTATAAACCAACGTTCACATCACTGGGGGGCACCATTAAACATATCTGGTTGGTGGTGTCAAGCCGCAACGTCTTAGGCAGTTCCAGTTATCGTCATTTTTCACCGGGATTACGTCATAGGAACCCAACCAGGATTACATCACGAAACCCCAAGGCTTTTGATTGTGTCATCCAATCGTTGCAGGAATTAGTCAGGTTTCGCTACTCACCATAAATCCACAAACAGTGGGTACGGGCCAACTTTGGATATCCATAAATCTGGATGGCAAACACTATACAAGCTGGTGCCCCTAGTGATAAGTTGACTTACACACCTCACTAACCAGTTCGATATCAGTTAACTAAACCAGCCATGTACATTAGTTAGTGAGTTAATGTCAACCCTGGATGAATAAACCCCTAGGCTGTTTAATTGGGGGGTTACCATTTAAGTATCATATTGTGACTATTGGGGGAGTACCCCGTACGATGGACAGTTCGAGGCTATTTGGCAGTTAGCAGCTACCCTATGTGTTTACATGAGAGTCGATAATGATAAGTAGGAGCCCTGGAGGCGCTGAGGGCGCTGAAGGCGCTGAGGGCGCTGAGGGCGCTGAGGGCGCTGAAGGCGCTGAAGGCGCTTGAGGGCGCGGGCGCTGAAGGCGCTGAAGGCGCTGAAGGCGCTGAAGGCGCTGAGGGCGCTGAAGGCGCTGAGGGCGCTGAGGGCGCTGAGGGCGCTGAGGGCGCTGAGGGCGCTGAGGGCGCTGAGGGCGCTGAGGGCGCTGAAGGCGCTGAAGGCGTTGAGGGCGCTGAGGGAGCTGAAGGCGCTGAAGGGGCTGAGGGCGCTGGAGGCGCTGAGGGCGTTGGAGGCGTTGAGGGCGCTGAAGGCGATGAGGGCACTGAGGGCGCTGAGGGCGCTGAAGGCCCTGAAGGCGCTGAGGGCGCTGAGGGCGCTGAAGGCGCTGAGGGCGCTGAGGGCGCTGAAGGCGCTGAAGGCGTTGAGGGCGCTGAGGGCGCTGAAGGCGCTGAGGGCGCTGAAGGCGAGGGCGCTGAGGAGGCGCTGAAGGCGGGCGCTGAGGGCGCTGAAGGCGGGCGCTGAGGGCGCTGAAGGCGCTGAGACGCTGAGCGCGCTGAAGGCGCCGAGGGCGCTGAAGGGCTGAGGGCGCTGAAGGCACCGAGGGCGCTGAGGGCGCTGAGGGCGTTGAGGGCGCTGGAGGGGTTGAGCCGGCTGAGGGCGCTGAGGGCGCTGAGGGCGCTGAGGGCGCTGAAGGCGCTGAGGGCGCTGAGGGCGCTGAGGGCGCTGAAGGCGCTGAGGGCGCTGAAGGCGCTGAGGGCGCTGAGGGCACTGAGGGCGCTGAAGGCGCTGAGGGCGTTGAGGGCGCTGACGGCGCTGAGCGCGTTGAACGCGCTGAGGGCGCTGAGGGCGTTGAAGCCGTTCGAGATAGTGAGGGGCTAGAGGCGCTCTTCTTGATCAAGCCGATCTGCTTGATCTTCGCTTCCTCTTATTGCGTTTCTTGGCATTCGCTACTGATGTTTTGCTTCTTGATTTTCTTGATGTTCGAAGTTGTTATGCCACATGCTCTTTGGCCTTGTCTTCATGATGCTACGTTGCTTGATCTTCTCTGCCTCATGCTACGCTGCTTGAAATTCCCTGCCTCATGATGCTTGATGTCTTCTTCACCACGTTATTCTTTTTGATCGTCTTGTCTTCGTGTTTTTTACGCTGCTTGAGCTTCTCTACATCAAGCCACACTGCTTGCCTTTAACAAAATCATGTTTTGCTGCTGGGTCTTCTCTGTATCATGTTAGGCTACCGGATCTTGTCTTTATGCTGCCAGGCTACTTGATCTTATCTACTTCATGCTGCGCTGCTTCACCCTCCCTGCCTCATCTCAGACTGCTTGATGTCGTATACATCAGGTTATGCTATTTGATCTGTTCTTCATGATGCTAGGCTGCTTGCTCTTCTCTATCTCCTGTTCTATCTTGGTGTTTTCGACATCAGATCTTTGATTTTTGATAGTTTGATCTTGCCATGGCGATGCTACACTGCTCGGCCTTGACTACCTCATGTTGTGCTGCCTGATGCCCCCTACATCAGGTTGTGCTTTTTGATCTGGTCTGCATGGCTGCTTGATCTTCTCCACCTCATGCTGCCGCTTGATCTCCCCTGCCTATCCCTGCGTCATGTTATGCTGCTTGATCTTCTCTGAATCATGTTATGCTACTCGATCTGGTCTTCACAATGCCACGCTGCTTGATTGTCTCTACCTCATGCTATGCTGCTGAACCTTCCCTACCGCGCGTTATGTTTCTTGGTGTTCCCTGTGTCATGTCATGCTGTTTGATCTTGTCATCAAGACGGTACGTTGCTTGATTTTTTATACCTCATGCTACGTTCTTGACCTTCCTTTTTAATGTTGCTTGTGTTCTTTATATATATTCTTGAATTTTTTGTCTGGTCATGCTGCTACGCTCCTTCACCTTCTCTACCTCTTGTTAGGCTTCTTGGGCTTCCCTACCTCATGTGATGCTGCTTAATGTGCTCTGTATCATACTGTGCTATTCGGTCTTGCCCTCACGATGCTACGCTGCATGATTCCCTACGTCAAACTACACTGCTTGACCTTCCCTAACTGATGTTATGCTGCTCAATGTTGTTACATCAGATCGTGTTACGCTGTTTGGTCTTGTCTTCATGATGCTACGCTGCTTGGTCTTCTCTACATCATGCCTTGCTACACAGCGAATGAATTTCATCAGCATAGGTTTTAGCACCCAAAACTATTCTGGGAGCACAAGTTTTGGGTGTTTGGCATCAGCTGCGTCACTAGTTGCCACTTTCTGGTTTCAGCTCGAAAAAAGCGCTGGCGAGGTGAGGCGCCCAAAATTGCAGATTCGGTGATGGAACTGATGGTCAAAAGACAACAACTCACTTTCATCAAGCAGAAACCAACTCACTTTCATATATTTTTACCTCGCTGCCACAGCGTGCATAAGCGCTCTTGGAATGAAGAGACGGGCACGCCCTCAAACCTTTCGCTGTCAAGCAAACGCTGCGCAGCACCTGGTAAGTCTTGTATATACTCTATCCACCAAATAAACGCGAAGCGTCCATAGCACGGGAGTACCCGAGTACCCCCCTAAATAATAGACCATGGTCCGGGGTTTACCTAAATTGCTAACTATTGGCTGTTAAGAACTTAGTTAGTTAGATATTCGTTAGTCAATCACTAACAACCACATACTAGTTAACGAAACCTTTAATGCAAACTAAGGATTCCTTAACCAAAGCTTCAATTTCAATGCGAACTGAGAGTTCTTTTAGTTAACTAATTAAATACTTTTAAACCTTAAGTGTGAACCAATAAGGTTGTGTTTTTACCGATTTAGCTCACTACCACCTTTTCATGGCCAGAACTCTTTGGTTGGCAGATGCACGCTATGGTCTTGGTAAGTTTAACGGGTGCCTTATCGATCTTATAGTAACCCGCAAAGAGCAAAAGACATAAACTCGATAGAAACGTAATTTACCTGGTTGGTGGTTTCAACCCCTCTGAAAAATATTAGTCAGTTGGGATGATGCCATTCCCAATACATGGAAAAATAAAATTCATGTTCCAAACCACCGACCAGTTACCGTTGTTTTAGCCGTTTCTTATCTTTTTCGGGGTTGCTATACTGCTTTAGACTTGGTTGGTCCCATTGATGTGTATCTGCCCGGCGCATTAGTGTAGATTGCTTGTAAGCGTGCACAGCCCAATTGCAATGCTTGTGATGTTGGATTATTTGGATTTTCACACCATTGAAACCGATTCAGCCAGCCATTTGGGTTTGACATTTTACATGGGACGATACGTATGTTCATACCCCAGATCCACTGATTAATCATCATATTCCCCATGTAATGGCCAATTTTTTTGGCATCCCGCATCGACAAACCCACGGCAAATCTCACATACCCTGCCAAAAGAACACCTCCATAGCGGTGGCTACAAAAGAACATGTTTCACGAGCTCACCCCTGTTTCACTCACCCGTTGCCTAAAAGACCCCAAGTTTTGACGTGTATAAACTCATAATAAACTCATAAGCCAGCGAAAAACCCTGCATCCAAGCTTCCAACACCAACGATCTCGCGTCATCCTCGAAGCTTTGATGGCTCCCGAACCAAATTTCGATGCCTCGAATCCGTCGGGGATGGGGGTAACGCCAGGTGAGGGACATACCAAGCAAAACAAAAGGAAGCAATCCTTGATATATGAGATCACCAGTAAAATGAGGGAGTGACATTCAGCAGCATTAGTAACTTGCTCCTTGAAGTGATGTATATATATATATATATGTATCATACCATTATTTACACTTCATAGTTGCAGACTTGCAGACAGCTCATTCGAATCCCATTATAATCCCATATTTAAATGGATCTATATATCTACATACCTACATATCTCCATATCCACATATCTACATATCTACGTACATATATATATAATATAATACAATATATTATAATATAATATAATATATTATAATATAATATATTATAATATAAAATAATATAATATAATATAATATAGTATAATATACATTACACCATAATCCCAGCTTTCATAATGACCAATAAAAAAACCAACTGCTGCAGATCAGCGGCACTTTGTGAGGATCTGCCGGTCGCAAAGAGGCAGGGGCTGACCCGACTCGGTGACATGACCTGAGCCCAGGTATCCATATCCCATTAAACCACCATTATCCATAGCTATTAGGGATAACTATATATGTAACAAAAGCTGTGGTATTTAACTCCATTGTCCATAGCTGTAGATACTATTAGGGATAGCTATGGTGTATAACTCCAGAAAAAATTACATCTATATGTATATGGCATATAACCAGCTGAAAAATCATGACCCGATCTGTTGATGAACACTGGGAATCAGCTCCATGGCTAGGAAATTTTCAAGCCATGGAGCTGATTCCCATTGGAATCATGGAATCCAAGTGGTGGGGGGCCCACTGTCCCAAAAAGGTCCCCAAGTGCAACGTCCAGGCGCCAACGCTGCAACAGTAGCACTTCGTGTTCGCCAAACGAAAATTTTGGAGCTGATCATGTAGCGTCCTGAACAGAGCCTCCCCTTGAGACATGGGACATGTCGAAAGCTCGATTCATCGTGTGGATTGTTACGCATACATTCATCGAAGGAAGTTTAGAAGTGAAACTTCCGACAATATGGACAGTTGAAAAGCAGAGGTGAGAAGAGTCAGAAGAGACAAGATCAGAAGAAAGAAGATGCAGATGCGCGAAAGGGTAGGAAAGTCGCGAAACACTGTGTTTTTCCAATGATTTGGGGCTCCGGAGGGTCGAAGAGTAGGCTCGCTAAAGCGGCGGGTGCGGAGCCAGCTGGCCAGATGAGAGATGAAAAATTGCACGCCGTTGTGGCGCGAAGCACATTTCCAAGTCAAAATATACAAAACACCAGGGGTTCGGACCACTTTTGGAAGTTGAGATGTCGAAAAAGTGCACGCCGTTGTGGCGCGAAGCACATTTCCAAGTGAAAAGGTACAAAACACCTCAGCGTCGGACCACTTTTGGAAGTTGAGATGTCGAAAAAGTGCACGCCGTTGTGGCGCGAAGCACATTTCCAAGTCAAAATGTACAAAACACACCATTCTCGGAGCACTTTTGGAAGTTGAGATGTCGGAAAAGTGCACGCCGTTGTGGCGCGAAGCACATTTCGAAGTCAAAAGTGTTAAAAACTGACGGTCTCGGACCACTTTTGGAGGTTCAGATGTCGAAAAAGTGCACGCCGTTGCGGCGGGAAGCACATTTCCAAGTCAAAATGTTAAAAGCACCAGGGTCTCGGACCACTTTTGGAGGTTCAGATGTCGCTTCGCTTCGCTTCATTACACTACACTACATTACACTACACTACACTCCACTACACTACATTACATTACACTACATTCCACAACACTACAACTACAACTACACAACTACACAACTACACTACACAACTACACAACTACATTGCACTACACTCCACTACACTAAATTACACTCCACTACACTCCACTACACTAAATTACTCTACAGTACACTACAATACACTCCACTACACTACACTACAGTACACTACACTCCACTACACTCCAGCACACTAAATTGCACTACACTACATTGCATTACACTACACTACACTACATTCCACTACACTCCACTACGCTACACTACAACTACAAATACAACTACACTCCGCTACACTCAAGTACGGCACACTACACTACATTACACTACGCTACACTCCACTACACTACATTACACTACACTACCTTCCACTACACTTCACTACATTACACGACACTACATTCCACTAGATAGGTAGGTAATTAGATGAGAGAGAGAGAGAGAGCGATAGATAAATACATAGAGAGATCGGTAGGTAGGTAGGTAGATAGTCAGAGAAAAAGAGAGAAAGAGAGGAGACCTCAAGCACCTTTCGGTCCGTCAGTGGCTTCGCTCTGCCATCCCTGATTCACAACAACCAACGTCTCCTATAGGTTTCCTATTTTTGAAACTTCCGCCACCGCCTTGTGCGGTACTACTGGTATGTATAGATATATATATGTAAACGTATCTATGTATAAATAAATAAATAAATGAATAAATAAATAAATAAATAAATATATATGTAGACATTATTACATATATCCATGGTTACGCTTACAAATTCCTCAGCAAGACATGTAAAACTTTGGTGGCATATTGATTTCCTCAAGGACTGCAACTTCTCTTGTCGGTCTTTTCTGAGATTTCACCATGAAACCCTCAGGGAAATTCCTGTTTTCCATGCCAGGTATACTTCCTGGTTTGCATCATTGAAGATATAATATATCTTAAAATATATTGTACATCTCCACTCAGTGCACAACTCCCACGCTGTTTCACCCGTTTTTTGCGCAACACATCCGAGTTTTTACGGGTGAACTCCCTTTTCTCGTAGCGGAAGTCACATGTGGCAACGGGTAATTCTCCAATTTGATGAACAACTCCTTTTACGCAGCAGCACTAACCCACCTAAAAAAGTGGCTCTCCGTAGTGATGTTTGTTGGTTTATAACCCCAGTTAACTATAGATATATCTACCATAAACCCAACAGTTTTTGGAGGTATAACCGAATTTAGCTATCATAAATCACATAGAAAACCACAAATTTCATGGCCAAATCCATGTTCTTGTTGGTTAACCATGTTGAACAAACTGGGGTAGCACCCTGCCAACCATCACAAACGCCAGGTGTCTGAACACTGTGGAAGTAGTCGCGGAAGACAGCAGCTGCAGGGTAGGTCAGCACCAAGACTGCCATACAGGTGACAATCATCCTGGGGAGATCTCTGCAGGAATGATATGAATGAGATGAATATCTGCGTATTTTTCAGGTGAAGATCACAAAACACAGACATCTATACACATACGCATCTCCACATCTATCTAGGTATATATATATATGATTACATAGGATTACCTTCTGGTAAATTAACATAGACCCTGGCAGATAGGGGTTGGAAGACTAGTTTCCATTAACAATTGGCTATTTTCAGAGTCTATGTTTATTTACCAGAGGGTATATTCTGTTTTGTATTCAAACAATAGGTCTGTTTTCCAATTCGTTGTTCGTTTTCCTTCCCAGGTTCCCAACAACGGCTCCGATCTGATCTGGTTTAGCCAGGGATCATGTCCAGTCGATTCCAACCATAGGAGAACATGGCCACCTAGTCAGCTGCCCATGAAGGGAGCTTTGAAAAAAACATCAAAAAAGTGGGAATTAATCAATAGTGATATCATGGGGTTAATATGTGGTTAATATATGGTTAATATATGGATAGAATGGGGATATATCATGGAGTTATATAATGAAATATCATGGGATGATGAGATGTATATCACAAACGCAGATATCTAATATGATCCAACCAACAAAAGAGATGGGTGAAAAGGTTAACATTTTAGGCTTGGAAGATGTTGAGCCATGGGGGCATAGTTGTTTCATTCCCTTAATCCATGGGACCAGAAAACGTCTTCACCATTGGTGTCTTCGATAAAATCACCAACAGCTTGGAATTTCTGAAATAATGTTGGTAAGACAATGACATAAACCACTCATTTGGCAATGGTTTATACCACCTATTTATGGTGATTTGGGGATCGGTTTATTATTTGTTTTAACCACATTACGATCCATTATTATACCTTTATAATCCCATTACCCATAATTATTCCATTTCTATCCCAATTATCTCCTATTACAACAGTATTGTTAACCATAAGCCAATACCAGTAGTACCCGCACGAGGCGGGGCGGAAGTTGCCTTAAAGATATATATAAGACCTTTCTCATCTATAGAACTTGCATGCGCCGTGCGCCAGCCAAGCCCGTGCGTGCATGCATTCTTCGAAAGTGGTGTCCTGTTTCACATGTCACATTTGAAGCTCCACTTCGCACTTCACGCTTCACACTCCACACTTCACACTCCACACCCCACACTCCACGCTACACACTTCACAATTCCCACTGCACACTGCACACTGCACACCCCACACTCCACACTTCACACTTCACACTCCACACTTCACACTTCACAGTCCACACTTCACACTTCACACTCCACACTTCACACTTCACACTGCACACTTCACACTTCACAGTCCACACTTCACACTTCACACTCCACACTTCACACTGCACTCTTCACGCCCCACACTTCACACTGCACCCTTCACACTCCACACTTCATCTCATCTGAGCTCTTCTCTCCTTATCCCAGCTCATCTCTTCTCATCCCATCTCTTCTCATATGTCATCTAAGCTTTCATGAATCACTTCCCAGTACTACTACTAAGGAACTTGCATGCGCCGTGCGCCAGCCAGGCCCGTGCGTGCGTGCTTTGTGCGAAGCTGTTGCAGTGTTGCTGTCCAAGAACATGACCTGCGCGCGACCCCGGTACAATGCAAACACTTTCCTCACACTTCACATTGCACTCTTCACACCCCACACTCCACACTTCACACTTGCACTTCATCTCAACTCATCTCATCTGAGCTCTTCTCATCTAATTCCATGTCTTCCCATATGTCCGCTAAGTTCTTCTGGGATATTTTCATGTCAAGTACTTCCCAGTACTACTTTGTACTACAAAGCTTGCACAAAACACGTTCCAGTACTACTTTGTACTACAAAGCTTGCACAAAACACTTCCCAGTACTACTGGTACTACAAAGCTTGCACAAAACACGTTCCAGTACAGTACTACTTTGTACTACAAAGCTTGCACAAAACACTTCCTAGTACTACTTTGTACTGCAAAGCTTGCACAAAGCACTTCCCAGTACTACTTTGTACAACAAAGCTTGCACAAAGCACTTCCCAGTACTACTGTGTACTACAAAGCTTGCACAAAACACTTGCCAGTACTACTTTGTACTACAAAGCTTGCACAAAGCACTTCCCAGTACTACTTTGTACAACAAAGCTTGCACAAAGCACTTCCCAGTACTACTGTGTACTACAAAGCTTGCACAAACTACTTCCCAGGACTACTTTGTACTACAAAGCTTGCACAAAACACGTTCCAGTACTACTTTGTACTACAAAGCTTGCACAAAACACTTCCCAGTACTACTTTGTACTACAAAGCTTGCACAAAACACTTCCCAGTACTACTTTGTACTACAAAGCTTGCACAAAACACTTCCCAGTACTACTTTGTACTACAAAGCTTGCACAAAACACGTTCCAGTACTACTTTGTACTACAAAGCTTGCACAAAACACTTCCCAGTACTACTGGTACTACAAAGCTTGCACAAAACACGTTCCAGTACAGTACTACTTTGTACTACAAAGCTTGCACAAAACACTTCCTAGTACTACTTTGTACTGCAAAGCTTGCACAAAGCACTTCCCAGTACTACTTTGTACAACAAAGCTCGCACAAAGCACTTCCCAGTACTACTGTGTACTACAAAGCTTGCGCAAACTACTTCCCAGTACTACTTTGTATTACAAAGCTTGCACAAAACACGTTCCAGTACTACTTTGTACTACAAAGCTTGCACAAAGCACTTCCAGTACTACTTTGTACTACAAAGCTTGCACAAACTACTTCCCGGTACTACTTTGTACTACAAAGCTTGCACAAAACACTTCCCAGTACTACTTCGTACAAATCTTGCACAAAGCACTTCCCAGTACTACTGTGTACTACAAAGCTTGCACAAACTACTTCCCAGTACTACTGTGACCAAGCATCCTTGACGCAGCCATTACAATGCGATCTGCAGAGACTGAGTTGCAAAGCACAATAGAACTACGCGCAACGGTGTCGGAAATTGCAGCTCCACAACCGGATCTCGATGCCAAAACAGAAAAAAGACTTTTTTGAAGCACTTTTTAAAAGGATTTTTAAAAGGAACATTACTAGCGCCAAAATTGAGAAAATTTGCTGACAAATCGTTGTCGCAACCTTGATGCAGCCATTCCAATACTATTTACGAAATCCAGCTGCAAAAGACAATAGTATTACGCATGGAGCCGCGGCACCAAGCAACCTTGACGCAGCCACTACAATGCGATCTGCAGAGACTGAGTTGCAAAACACAAAAGAACTACGCGCAACAGCGTCAGCAATTGCAGCTCCAAAACCGGAGGATCTCGACGCCAAAGCAGAAAAAAGACGATTTTGAAGCATTTTGTAAAAGGATTTTGAAAAGAAAAATTACTAGCGCCAATTATTGAGAAAATCTGCTGACAAATCACTATCGCAGCCTGGATGCAGCCACTCCAATACGATTTACGATGTTCAGCTGCAAAAGACAGTAGTATTACGCATGCAGCCGCGGCACCGAGCAACCTTGACGCAGCCACTACAATGCGATCTGCAGAGACTGAGTTGCAAAACACAAAAGAACTACGCGCAACAGCGTCAGCAATTGCAGCTCCAAAACCGGAATCTCGACGCCACAGCGACAAAAAGACGATTTTGCAGCACTTTTTGAAAGAACTTTTAAAAGGAAAATTACTAGCGCCAAAATTAAGAAAATCTGCTGACAAATCATTGTCGCAGCCTTGATGCAGGCATTCCAATACTATTTACGAAATCCAGCTGCAAAAGACAGTAGTATGACGCATGCAGCCGCGGTACCAAGCAACCTTGACGCAGCCTCTACAATGCGATCTGCAGAGACTGAGTTGCAAAACACAATAGAACTACACTCAATGACAACGCCGGATGACAACAATCATGCAGCCATTCCAACGGGATCTGCAACCAGAGATTCAAGAAACGCATAGAACTACGCACACAGGAACAACCACTCGTTGCAAAACACATAAATGGAACCAATTCGCGACAGAAACGACCGCGGCCGCAACCGCCGCACACACGAGGTACCTTTCATCGCCAGCCGAAGCCACTTTACACGGAAAAACAAGGTTTCGTGCTCCGGCCTCCTCCCCAAAACAAAGCCCATTGAGCATTCATGCAGCCATTACAATGCGTTTCGCAGCATCACATGGCTAACCCGCATCTCTCTACGCACATGGGAACACCAGATGACAACAATCATGCAGCCATTCCAATGGGATCTGCAACCAGAGATTCAAGAAACGCATAGAACTACGCACACAGGAACAACCACTCGTTGCAAAACACATAAATGGAACCAATTCGCGACAGAAACGACCGCGGCCGCAACCGCCGCACACACGAGGTACCTTTCATCGCCAGCCGAAGCCACTTTACACGGAAAAACAAGGTTTCGTGCTCCGGCCTCCTCCCCAAAACAAAGCCCATTGAGCATTCATGCAGCCATTACAATGCGTTTCGCAGCATCACATGGCTAACCCGCATCTCTCTACGCACATGGGAACACCAGATGACAACAATCATGCAGCCATTCCAATGGGATCTGCAACCAGAGATTCAAGAAACGCATAGAACTACGCACACAGGAACAACCACTCGTTGCAAAACACATAAATGGAACCAATTCGCGACAGAAACGACCGCGGCCGCAACCGCCGCACACACGAGGTACCTTTCATCGCCGGCTGCAGCCACTTTACACGGAAAATACAAGGTTTCGTGCTGCGGCTTCCTCCCCAAAACAAAGCCCATGCAACATTCATGCAGCCATTCCAATGGGATCTGCAACCAGAGATTCAAGAAACGCATAGAACTACGCACGCTGGAACAACCACTCGTTGCAGAACACAGAGGAGGAACCAATTCGCGCATGAAACGACCGCAGCCGCACCCGGCGCACACACAAGGTACCTTTCATCGCCGGCTGCAGCCCCTTTACACGGAAAAACGCAAGGTTTCGTGCTCCGGCTTCCTCCCCAAAGCCAGCCACATGCAACATTCATGCAGCCATTACAATGCGTTTCGCAGCATCCCATTACAATACGTTTCGCAGCATTCCCTTCATCACCACTTCCCTTCGTCACCACTTCCCTTCGTCATCACTTCCCTTCGTCACCACTTCCCTTCGTCACCACTTCCCTTCGTCATCACTTCCCTTTGTCACCCTTTCCCTTCATCACCACTTCCCTTCGTCACCACTTCCCTTCGTCACCACTTCCCTTCCTCACCACTTCCTATCGTCACCACCTCCCATCGTCGCCACCTCCCTTCCTCACCACTCCCCTTCATCACCACGTCCTATCGTCACCACCTCCCATCGTCGCCACCTCCCTTCCTCACCACTCCCCTTCATCACCACTTCCCTTCGTCACCACTTCCCTTCCTCACCACCTCCCATCGTCACCACCTCCCATCGTCCCCACCTCCCTTCCTCACCCCTCCCCTTCATCACCACTTCCCTTCGTCACCACTTCCCTTCCTCACCACTTCCCATCGTCACCACCTCCCATCGTCCCCACCTCCCTTCCTCACCACTCCCCTTCATCACCACTTCCCTCCGTCACCACTTCCCTTCATCACCACTTCCCATCGTCACCACTTCCCTTCATCGCCACTTCCCTTCATCACCACTTCCCTTCGTCACCACCCTGTCTCATAGCTTCTTATTCTTTTGTTATATATTGTTATTGTATTGTGATGTGATGTACCACCCTTCATCATAGTCAATTCCATCAAGTAAAAGTCATTCGTAACTCGGAAGTACTGCTTCCCAACTTTCTTTGATAAACATATTGCATATGTATATATATATATGGTTAAAAAAATCTTCCCAACACACTTCTGGAGGTAACGGATGTTTATGTTTCTATATATATATATACACATATTTAGTAGCCCGGGTTCCTCTGCGGCGGCTCAACGTCGTATGTTTGGTTGGCCTTTTTGGATGCTACGCGGGCCTGATTTCGGTCCAGTCGACGAGCCATCCGTTCGGCGGTTTGCTTGGGAGCCTTCCTGCCAGAACTACATGCAGCCTCACTTATGCGCTGTCGCTCCCGATCCAAATTAATTCTCCAGATAGAAAGTGCTGCAGTTCCTGTTCCGCAAATGTGTGTCGATGCCATAACGAATCCGCTTTGCGGACTCACGATACGCTAAGCGATCAAAATATTGTGACCTTGTTAAAACCCTTTTGGATACACTATTCTTCTCCTCCAAGATTTCTGTTGGATTTCTAAAACCCAGATGTTTCATGACATCTTCGACAGCTGCCAAAACTTTCAATATACAAATATTAAGTTTGAAGTCGCCTTCATTAAGATAGTATGAGCGATGCAAAGGTGTTAGCTTAGAAAAGTTCCACGCAAATTTGCCGTGTGACTCCCAATAGATATTGTCCAGCTGGGACGGCGCCAGCATCGCTTCGATAACGTCTCCGAGGTGTTCTGTGGTCAAACCATCAAGAATTTCTAATTTCAACAGGGTCTGCATTGCACCATAATGTGACAAGGCCTTCCTTCGCGTGCTGCACCCACTGTCTCTCATGTATCCTCGCAAAGCTGATGCAAAATATTCGGAACGGAGCATGTCCTAACACAGCACCTCTCACCCTTTCACCTAAGAAATATGCATCTTCTTGGTGGCCAAAGCGAGCCGTTCCTGGCTGTTGCTGATAGTATCGGCCGAGTGACTCCATGGCTCCTGCAGACTGTAGTAAATAGATTCAATATATATATACACATAATTCTTGAAAAAAGCAATTAAATAAATAAATGAATATATATATATATAAAATATAAATGTATATATATAAGGTATGTTCCAATCAGCACGTTGTGAATGTGTGCCAATCGGCATGCTATGGAATGTAGTGAAGGTGTGTGCCATTCAGCATGCTGTATATGTATTATATATATATATATCTATATAAAAAAGTGTGCGAATCGGCACATACTGAATATGTGCGTGTGCCAATTGGCATGCTGTGGAGTGTAGTGAATGTGTGTGCCAATCGGCATGCCGTGGAATGTAGCGAATATATGTGCACTAGCCGATTCAAAACACAAGGTTTCGTGCTCCGGCTTCCTCCCCAACACAAGCCCCATGCAACATTCATGCAGCCATTCCAATGCGATCTGCAACCACAGCTTCAAGAAACGCAAAGAACTACGCACACAGGAGCAACATGGAACAACCACTCGTTGCAGAACACAGAGGAGGAACCAATCGCGTCCAGAACGACCGCAGCCGCAACCGCCGCACACACGAGGTACCTTTCATCGCCGGCTGCAGCCACTTTACACGGAAAAATAAAAGGTTTCGTGCTGCGGCTTCCTCCCCAACACAAGCCCCATGCAACATTCATGCAGCCATTCCAATGCGATCTGCAACCACAGCTTCAAGAAACGCAAAGAAATACGCAGGCAGGAACAACATGGAACACCCACTCGTTGCAGAACACAGAGGAGGAACCAATCGCGTCCGGAACGACCGCAGCCGCAACCGCCGCACACACGAGGTACCTTTCATCGCCGGCTGCAGCCACTTTACATGAAAAATACAAGGTTTCGTGCTGCGGCTTCCTCCCCAAAACAAAGCCCATGCAACATTCATGCAGCCATTCCAATGCGATCTGCAACCACAGCTTCAAGAAACGCAAAGAACTACGCACACAGGAACAACATGGAACAACCACTCTTTGCAGAACACAGAGGAGGAACCAATCGCGTCCGGAACGACCGCAGCCGCAACCGCCGCACACACGAGGTACCTTTCATCGCCGGCTGCAGCCACTTTACACGGAAAAATAAAAGGTTTCGTGCTGCGGCTTCCTCCCCAACACAAGCCCCATGCAACATTCATGCAGCCATTCCAATGCGATCTGCAACCACAGCTTCAAGAAACGCAAAGAAATACGCACGCAGGAACAACATGGAACAACCACTCGTTGCAGAACACAGAGGAGGAACCAAACGCGTCCGGAACGACCGCAGCCGCAACCGCCGCACACACGAGGTACCTTTCATCGCCGGCTGCAGCCGCTTTACACGGAAAATACAAGGTTTCGTGCTGCGGCTTCCTCCCCAACACAAGCCCCATGCAACATTCATGCAGCCATTCCAATGCGATCTGCAACCACAGCTTCAAGAAACGCAAAGAAATACGCAGGCAGGAACAACATGGAACAACCACTCGTTGCAGAACACAGAGGAGGAACCAATCGCGTCCGGAACGACCGCAGCCGCAACCGCCGCACACACGAGGTACCTTTCATCGCGGGCTGCAGCCACTTTACACGGAAAAATACAAGGTTTCGTGCTCCGGCTTCCTCCCCAACACATCCCCCATGCAACATTAATGCAACATTCCCTTCCTACCACTTCCCTTCGTCACCACCCTTCATCAAGGTCAGTTTTTTTTTTGTGATGTATTGTTAATACATTGTTATGTAGTGTAAAGTCTCACACCACCCTTCATCAAGGTCAATTCTTTTGTGATGTATTGTTATGTAGTGTAAAGTCTCACACCACCCTTCATCAAGGTCAAGTCTCAATCGCGCACCACCCTTCATCATAGTCAATTCCATATCAAGGTCAATTTTTTTGTGATGTATTGTTATGTAGTGTAAAGTCTCACACCACGCTTCATCAAGGTCAAGTCTCAATCGCGCACCACCTTCATCATAGTCAATTCCATATCAAGGTCAATTCTTTTTGATGTATTGTTATGTAGTGTAAAGTCTCACACCACCCTTCATCAAGGTCAAGTCTCAATCGCGCACCACCCTTCATCATAGTCAATTCCATGTCAAGGTCAATTCCTTTGTAATGTATTGTTATGTAGTGTAAAGTCTCACACCACCCTTCATCAAGGTCAAGTCTGAATCGCGCACCACCCTTCATCATAGTCAATTCCATATCAAGGTCAATTCTTTTGTGGTGTATTGTTATGTAGTGTAAAGTCTCACACCACCCTTCATCAAGGTCAAGTCTCAATCGCGCACCACCCTTCATCATAGTCAATTCCATCAAGTAAAAGTCATTCCTAACTCGGAAGTATTGCTTCCCAACTTCCTTTGATTAACCAACATTATTGACACATAAAGTTTTAATATCCCAATTATATCCCAATTATATCCCACTATGTCATCATATATAAAGATGTATACTATCATTGTACCATCATATTATAGCATCATATATCCCAATTATTGTTGGCCATACACCAGTGTTAACCTATGTTAACCATACACCAATTATTGTTAACCAATAACGTTCCCCTATGTTTTACCCACATTACTCAGTTTTGGAAGGGAACGTTTTGGCTCAATGTACCAGATTCCTCCCCCAATCGTGGCCTCATTGGGAGCCCTAAATCACGAATAACTAGACGTGGATATGTGGAAATTAGTTGGACATGACGCATCCCCGTTGCAGGTGGGTGTATCTGAAACTCGTGTGCCCCATGTCATTCCATGGTTATTCATCAGTTGGACATGATCTAAACATGAAAAACATTTATCAAAAATCATTAAACACACACCAAACAACAAAGTTGTTTAATCAAATAACACATTTAGACAGATTATGGTTATTTTCCATTAGCAAAACACTAAAGGATTCAGTTGTACCTATCCAGTTGGGGATGAACACACCAAAGAACCAGCGATCAAGGTACAATGACGATGAAGAAGGTGGATACGGATAGTACCTGGGTCCATGAGGGGATTAAAACCCAAGGGTAAAAAATACATATGTATTTGTGTATATATATATATATAAATAAATAAATATATATATATATATGTAAATGTATATATATATACATACACACATATGTATATATATATATACACATAATATATATATATGTACCAAATATAGCAAGACAATCCAACATATAGTAGTTTATAATGAGGGAACAAGCAATCAACCCCAACATATAGTAATTTTCATGGGGGAAATGATGATAATCCACTGGGTTTCAGGAGTTTTCCCATCATTCTCACTTCGACATGGGACCCGGTAACGCGGATTTTTGATTTCCCCAACATCCGGACAAAATCACAAGTGGATACTGTCAACTCGTGTGATTTTTTTGGGCGACCCATTTTCGCTACAAACTGTTCGCTTAATTATGAACCAACCCTAAAAATACGAGCTTGGATTATGGGGGATTATGATTCCATCTTCGGGGACTGAGTAGAAACTGAATGTTGTGCCCCCTTGATACAACAGGGACCGATTTAGGATGACATGTTGTGTACCCTTGTGAAGCATCAAACGTGGCAGTGGGAAATACTCATCTAATGGGGGGTTTCTAGCCATGGAGAGCTGACCGGAGTTTTTTCTTGGTGGCGAACTACCCACGGATCACAAGTAGATTCGTTCACCCTAGTTATAAGCGGATGAAACCTACTTATCCCTCTTATAACCAGGGATATGACCTACTTAGCGGAGGGTACATGTGTGGAAGCCTACACATACTTGAGCCGATTCCATGTCACAGCCGATATGATCTTCTCATAGCAAGATCCAGCGCATCGCAAGTGGCATTTCTCATCCTCTTGTGGTGGAACATCTGGATCCAAACATGGGATTAGTGGCTTCTCCTCACCATTCTTCGGGCTCCTCTTGGCCATGATCATTGTCGTTTAGAAAATGGTAGTTTTGGACGATACCTTCTAAGCAATGACAAAGAGGAGCCTCTTCACCCGGGTTCCAGGTTCCAGCTGGTAGGCGGTAGACTAGGAAATGGCTACTCAATATCCCTGAGGGTGTTTGAAGCTCCCACTCGATGTCTCCGATGCTTCAAGATGTTTTAATCACAGAGCGAGGTTGATCGATGGGAGGCGTTTGAACCAAACCCAATAAACCAAACACAATAGTTTGTGTTCAATTTTTTTCAATATGTCACGCTCGGATTTCGAAGGAAACAAAAAACATCTTGGTGTCTTACATATAGATATTCCCCAGCAAGGAATTTCTATCCTCTGGTAAGTTGTGCCTGCTATAGAACCTCTGCCTCATCGAACCCTTTTTCATCGAACTCAATGGGCCAACGGAGTAGCAGCGTAGCACAGCAAAGTGTAACATCTGGTTGGTGGTATACCTACCCCTCTGAAAAATAGTCAGTTGGGGTTATTATTCCCAATATATGGGAAAAAGTTCCCAAACCACCAACCCTTGGTTATGTCAAAATAGCTTTTGAACATGGCCCATTTAGTTCGTTGATTTACCGAACTTCAAGATGGTGATTTTCCAGCTCGCAAACTGTAAACGTTTACCAGAGGGCAAATGGACTTATACACCCAGTAAGCCATTTTCTTACTGGTTACTAATGGTTATCAACCAGTTTATCCATATCTATCATAAATCAGCTATAAACCAGTAACATCCATGAACTAGTTTGATGTACTTACTATTGGCTGGAGTCAAGTTCCAATATACCAAATGATTTACCACCGAGCTAAATGGACCATCTATACCATAGCTATGTTAGTTGACTGGAGAAAACTTGAAACGACTACATCTGGCTGAATCATAACAATTCAACTGAAAATAGCTGTTGTCATACGGCTATTTGGGGATGGTTCCCCTTACTAACCAGTAAATCAAAAAGATGATTTTCCAATTTTCCACCATTTATAGATGATTTTCCCATGTAAACCTCCATTTAGTTCGGAGATTTCCCATTGCTCGTTGAGTTATGATGGATTTCCTCGATGATCCAAGGGACAATAGCCAGCACACCAGGGCCCAGTACGGTTGGTCCTTAGAGGCAACACATGGACCGCAGCTGCACTTCTAGTTGCGTGAATAAATGGACATGTAACTATAGATATAGAGCAAACTTATATCACTAAAAAAGGTCAACTAAGTGGATATATTTCACCATTCTCGGGGCCAAATATCCCAACTTATGGGGATTAAAATCCCGTGCCACAACTGCAACCTCAAGCAGAACACCAACAGTGTTCAGCATTCTTCAGGAAAAAAACCCAAGATGCGAGAATGGGCCCATGCCTATACACCCAAATATGCCAAATTCGTTCCAGTCGTGGGTGAAAAATCATCAAGTTCGCCCTGATTTGATTGCTGATCCCAGTAGCTATCTCCTGCTACTCTGTCCATTCTTCGTTCAAAGTACCATAATTTTGCTGAAGTCCTGCCCAAAAAAGATAAACCCCACGAAATCTTCTACACCCCAAAATTATGGCAATACATCCTGATTGATACGAAACTTTCTTGAAAGGAATCCAAACGCACATATCATATAGTGTTGATCCACAATATATTTTTTAAAAACTATAACCATGGATCTAAAATATTTTCCAAATAATGAAACACTATATTTTGAATCTCCCAAACAAATGTCCCTATATTTTGATGGCGAAACCCTTCAGAAATTGGGAAATCAGGACGCAGCATCTGGCTGCGGCGAAAAGCGTCGAATTTGTAGAGACGCCTTCGAACCCTCACCACGACTCTTCCTTACAGCCAGGATTCGGAGAAGTACTCAATGGGTAATGGGAAGAATATATATATATAATGGTTATATAATGGGTATATACTTGGGGATATATACGGGGATCTATGGGATTTACAACTCTGTCTCTGAGTATGACAAAATATCATGGGGATACAATGAACCGAAATTTGAGATTTCACCAACAAAAGTGAAGATTTAAGAATCTCAATCTTACAACGGATTGGTTTACCGGAAAACTTACGGGAAACATCAGCGCTTTTTGCATGGCAATTTACCTGCAAATCTAGGAGTTCTTGCCCAAAAATTCCCTTGAAGCTCCGGAAACCATCACTAATTGGTCCGTTTCGTCATGGTACCCCCAGTCATCATCCATGGATGACCATGACTTGGTAAACCTATGGTGACGTGGGGATCCCCCAGTTTTGTGAAACCTTCTGTGGTGACGTGAGAATCTGCAAATTTGCAATGGTGCTACCAATTTTACAGCCCACAGCTTCCCTCTTGAGGGGTTGACATGATGGGATATGACCCCTCCACTGCCGATTGGATCCCACTGCCGAATGTATTTAGCTAGCTCCACCGCAAGGGCCGAAATGATCATTGGTCATTTTCAAGGTGCCACAACATCCCACCCCTTTATCCAAAAGCCATAAGGCTATATGTCAAAACCCTGGTATCCTGTTCACGCCAAAATAGCTGGCAGTTGGGGATGTTGGAAACCGATCAATTGCTGACCCATCCCCGACTCACACCGCTCGAGATTTTCACCAGGACACAAAAAGGCAGCCAACTCAAACATACACCACAATCTGTCAACCTGGATCAAATGTTGTTGTTGTTGTTGATGATGAAATATTGGATCAAATGCTGGTGAAATATTTAAGCGAATTATCGATTGGAATTTCAAGACCCTAAAATCGAGGTACTGTACCATATAAAGCCATATGTTGTGACCACATCCCTTGACATAGACCTTTGCATAGGCCTTAGATATGGTAGGTGCCTTCAATCTAGCTACCTGAAATGGAAATTGAAATTACATCCAGTTATATCTTGTATGTAATATATTTGCCCACCCAAAAAGGGGTATACGAGTGAATCCTTAGCATTCTGATGGTGAGGCTGAGGGCAATGGTACATCCCCAAAATCCATCAAGTTTGGGATATATGCAGACATGTGAACATCTATACAGCAATATGTTCCATGGTCAAAACATCGTGCACAATGTGGGTCTTCCATACCAAAGTGAAAATCCACAACAGGGATTGGGTGAAGAACCCGCGGGTGTTTCTTGGGGCAGAATTCACCATGGTTAGTCGTAGTTGCGCACTTATGTCACGATGATACCAACGTCCTTTCAAAATGGCTTTTAGATGTATGTAGGTCAATATGTATATATATATATAATATACATGGAGCTGGGAGGCTTCCATCTGGATGTACTTGCAGCATCCCATAATAACAATGCCACGATTACAGGACTTGTGTGGCCTGATACATCTCCCAATGCACATGAAGCCAATATCCATGGCATGCTGCTGATCCGGTCCCTCTTTGATTCATGGGGTGATATCGTATTTGAAGAGTGGGGGAACTAAACATGATCACTCACCAGTTACTTCCTGATACTGAGCTTCCAAAAATCAAATGCAGAAGGTGCATTTGACTTTGCCATACTTTTCCATTCGTCCATAAACTTACAATTCCTGGGCTTGGCACTTCCGGAAAAAACAAAGAACATGTCTATACTGGTTGGTGGTTTCAACCCCTCTGAAAATATGAAAGTCAGTTAGGATTGTTATTCCCTATATATGGAAAAATAAAATTCATGTTCCAAACCACCAACCAGCAATAACATCCATGTAAGACTATTGGGGAAAATAGAAAATGTTCCAAACCACCAACCACATATAAGTATGTAAAATATATGTTCATCCAAGAAGTTCCCCCCAGCATTTCTATCCACTCGTCTGCGCAAGCCAAGCTACATATGTCCTGAGCCAGGGACGTAAAAGAGCGAAGATCTTCGAACGGATGACCCCCCAAATTCTGACCGGGGCATCTACCCTCTGGTAAACATACAAAAAACGATGGAACATCGCCATTGTTCATAGGTAAATCACCGAACTAAATGGCCATTTTCACTGGCTATGTTAGTTTACCAGAGGGTAGTTTTTCTTTCTGTTTTCCCTAGGAAAATCCCTCTCAGTGGGTCTTTTGTATCGGATACTATCGTGTCAGTCGCTTAGATTACCTGAAGACATTTCCAGGTTCGTAGCAGCTGGCAAATGATGCCAGTCTGACAACCACCTGTACTAGTGTTAGTAACAGTAGTAATGCTACGAGTCAAAATCTAATATGCCCGGAACATCCGCCATGAATCATTTCTTTGACTTGTCGATATTTCCCATTCAATGGCGGATTACTATATGAATTGATAATTGATATTTCATAATTTCCCATCATGAATCATTTAACTTGTCATTTCCAAGGTCTTTTTCCCATGGACATGTTGATTTTGCCATCGGATGCATCAAAACCTGGACGACAAATTTGAGGTTACCCCCTAAATGGTGGTACATTGCGCTTACAATTTGGGCCTCCCAATGAAGAAACAGCTGGTTCATTAATCCTTGATTAACATGACTGTGTACGTGAATCAACATCCATTCATCGGCGATTTTGGCGTGAACAGAAGCGTGCCGTTTGATTTTGATAACATACCCATTTAAAACAAGACTAGACGACAGCTGTTGATGGCCTCATGATCGTGGGGCCTGAAGTGTTCGAACTCGTCCCAGGTGAATTTCTGCACATCAGCCTGCTTCTTGCACACACTCCATTCTTCAAGAAAGAGTTGATGCTGAAATCTTAAGAATATGCGGAGGTGTCTCCCTCATCCACACTCAGCTGAACTGTTTGCACCAAAGTATTGGCTTCACCGAGTCCAATTCATCCCCAATGGGCCCCGCCCATGCCGGGCATGGTGTTGCCGGGCATGCCCCTTGGCTGACGGGGAACCGCTCACTGAGTAGCCTGGGTTCGTGAGCTTGCCATGTGAATCATATTGCACTGGGTCCCAGTCTCGTCAATCTGCTGCATGTTTCCCATGCCAAGACTTGCTTGAAGGAAACTTCAGTATCAAAACAATACTATCTTCACCAACTTTACCAATATTCAATAAACGCTGATCAATAGCAGGGCCTGCCAAAGCCCGATCCCAATGTGCTGGCCCCCAAAAAAATGGGACTGCATTGGGAGATCGTTATTTGCGCATTGATTTTGTTTGCCAGGGTTCCAGTGCCTTCCATTTGGATGTGCACGCCATTTTGTAAGTGTGTCTAATCCTGGTGAGGCAACTGGTTACATAATGGATCTTGCCTCCATGAAAAAATATGGAGATCGAGCACCCACAAAACAATATATATATATATATATACATACAGAGAAATACACATATTAAGCAGTGAAAATTACTATCGCCTATACAATATGTATGTATGTACGGGGCCTGACCCTATCTGCTTCATCAGGGGTGCTCTTGTAAATCAATAAAATACACACAACTAAACTATACAGTAACATGTTTGGGTTTGGCCACACTCAAATCTCTATCCAAGTGGTGTACACGCCCGACATGCCCTGCCAGTGATCGCACCACATCTTTGCATGCATGCATGTGTGTATGTACATATAATATATCCTATTGTTCGTCGTGGCCGCGTTTCTTCAAAGACCGGACCAACTGCAGGAGCTCCTCCTTATGACTGGTGCACTCTGAAATCTTTTCGATGGCATGCAACTCGGCTCCATAGTCTACCAAATTAAAATGCGATTGGTCCTGCCAACCAAAAAGTGTACAAAAATCAGTTCAGAGACAAATAAAACACTCATAAGCAATCCCTATGATTGCTATTTAGCGCGATACACCAACTTTGGGATGGCGTTCGTCAAAAGTTAGGCGCTGCAGCTGTGAAATTGCTCCGGAAATCTTCAGCTGGTCAGACCGTGAGGCTTTGCTTGACAATCCGTGACATGTGGCTGTACATATATCTGGGTAAATTACAATATTTCACTAACCTGAATTAAGGCCATAAAAGGGGATGATTTCCCTTACTAGCCATGATTTCCAGTGAGGTCGTAGTGAGGTCGTTGTAATTTACCCAGATATATGTGCATCTTTTTGGACACTAGTAACCCACCCATTTGGGAATTGTTTATACCAACTCTAAAAATGGCAATGACCGGGGCACAACTATTTCTGATGACTGGGGGATGGTGCGGATGGCCTTTACCCACAGTACTAGATCATATTAAGCACTTCCCCATTGCAGCTCTCGTTCATTGGGTCGAGCGTCTTATCCCACAGCACCAGCATCCGCTTGGATTGCTTCCTCGGATCCAAGGTGAATACACATACACACCCGGAATTATGATGCCGATGCATAATTCCGGGTATTGTACATATCTAAACATATAATATTATATAGTATACATATATGAATACATATTGTTTATTATATGATAATAGCAAACGTATGATATTATATGGTACCGGGAATTATGATTAGAATGTATTATACATACATATACATACATATATATATATATGTATTGGGGTAATATATTCGTAATTGGAGATGTTGTCGTGGTACAGAACATTTAGTGGGATAGTGATATCAACAATGATCTGAATTGTCTGAAGATGGGGTTTCCTAACATGGGACCCCAGGTTGTCATCCAAGTTCTTCATCATTTTCATGGAAAATAAACTCATTTTGAGGACCCACATTTAAAGAAACACCCATGTTGGCTTGTCTAAAAAGGGTGGACAACATACAGCATCGCAACTCTATGATATTTCAATATATTTCAATGAGAAAGTGATGATGAACACTGACAATTTTTGAAAATCATGTTTTCAGGCGAACCCATATGTAAGTCTGGACGCCCATGAATAGTGTGGTTAACATATGACATACAATGATGTTTGGTAACTTGTCGAAAAACACACTGTGGACATATCCCATGTATCAATCAACGGATTGATTTGGAGGAAAGTCGACAGGGAACCATGGTATTTTCCATTACCCTCTGGTAAACTAACATATCTATGGAACATCACCATCTTTAGTAGGTAAATCAACTATAAATTGGCCATGTTCAAAAGCTATTTTGACATAACCAGAGGGTAAATATGGGGGCAATGTTTCCCATAAACCAATCCAATGAATCAATGCTTCAGAAATTTGCGCCATGAGGTGATGAAGGGCAAGCCAGATGTGTTTTGATCCATGATTAGTGGGCTCCCCGGATGCCCAGTTGCCAACCATCAACTTGTTTCAGGGATCATCCAGAATCTAGGCTGACTATCAAACAGATTCTCGTGTGGATATATTGAACTAGTTAGATGGATTATAAAACTTCCGGGCCCCTTCCTCTACCCACCAAAATACCATTATGTTGCCTATACTCCCTTATATCCCAATGGAATATCGCCATTTTGAATGCTTGAATCCACAATTATGTTCGCATTTTTGAGGCTTAACCCCCCATGTTTGATGGTTTGATTCATACCTAAGTGGAATTCCCAACAGCAGGGCCTGTTGGGTTTCAATCTCTAGGGCTGGGGCTGGCTCGCGGGGACTTGCAGCCTTCAAAATCCGGAATGGAACCTGGAACCCTGGAACCCTGGAACCCTGGAACCCTGGAACCCTGGAACCCTGGAACCTTGGAACCCTGGAACCCTGGAACCCTGGAACCCTGCAACCCTGGAACCCTGGAACCTTGGAATCCTGGAAAATCTGGAATCCTGG